TTAAAGTATAACATTAAAGTATTTGGGATCTAATGCATAGTTCACCAAAACAAAGAGTTAGTTGACCGGAAAACCATCCCTTGCTAAAGACTTGCTGGAAATATTCAACTCTAATTCTCTGCTGCCATTTAGTGATCACCTGGATTTCTATTATCTACATACAGTAAACCCAAACAAACATCACCACCAATCTACAGCAGCTTCAGACTATTATTTCTAATATGGGAGTGAATTGAACTCACCATATGATAGCTCCAAATTCACAAAGAACTAAGTCTTTAGAGCTAAGATCCCTACTACATGGTAAAGGTAATTTTTCTAAGTCTTCTTTCCTTCATATGTATAAATCACACCCGAATGATATAATATCCTCACTGTACACATATAGATATGCCCCATGGAATTTTGATACACTCCCCAGATGTGTTGCTGCATAGTTCCCAGTTGGCTGGAACTATTTAATTCAGTAGACAGGAGTGATAAGAGGAAATTAAAGGTTAGGAGTAATCTAGGCTGATTCGCTCATCTCACATTTAAAACAGAATGTAGACACACACATATATTGCAGTCTTGAACATTTGTTATTCATGTGCTTTTCTTAACAGATTAAGAAAAGACTGTGTTTGAGTTTAGATCAGGTTTGGCCTGATGAAACTTCATTGAAAACGTCATGCGACTCAATTCTCTGAATGTTTTCTTTTCAATTAGCCCCTGCCAATTAGTAGAATAATGAATTTTAACTTGCAATTAAAGTAGGACTTGCATAATGGCAATTAAGAACACTGCATATCCTGGTCAAACGAAATAAATAGGTTAATATAGTTCCCATCATGTAAGAGAAAGAATGGCAGAACCTGGGGGAAGAGTCAAAAGAGGAATCAGCCTAGAGTATCTATGTAGCTACAAATGGACCAAATCCAATCCCTCTTGAATTCCATTGATCCTTATCTAATGCCAAGTTAATGCTAACAATTAGCTGAGTAGATGCTTGTGTATAGGCATGATTAATATCATGTTTCCCCAAAAATAAGACCCACCCCCAAAATAAGCCCTAGCCTGGTTTTTTAGGCTGGACCTAATATAAGCCCTACCCCAAAAATAAGCACAAGAGGCGGTGAGCACGCAGGGGCTGATGATATCTGGCAGCAGCCGCAGCCCCCTGGCCCCTTGGCGCAGCGCAGGTAAGTCCAAGCACGGAGGCAGAAGCGTGGGAAGACAGGCGATCCGGACGTGCTGCGCAGCCACCTGGCTCGCAGGCGGCTTGTATGGCGGCACTGGCAGCAGGAGGCAGAGGCACAGGGGGAGGCAGGCGATCCAGGTGTGGCTGCAGGCAAGCCAAAAGACTGTGGGATGGAATGGGCAGTGCATTGGGGTCGCCTGGCTCCCCCCTGCCCGTGCCTCTGCTGCCTGCTGCCGGTGCCACCACGCAAGCGTCCTCTGAGCCAGGGGGCCACGCAGCACATCTGGATCGCCTGCCCTCCCTCCCATACCTCTGCCTCTGCCTGGCTCCGCCATGCATTTTTTGCCCAGAGGTGACTGCAAGCAGACAAAACTTCCAGTCTTCCTCTGGGCAAAAAGTGTTTGGGCGTCTATGGGGTGCTTCGGAATGGAGCAAATCACTCCGTTTCAAAGCACCCCATTTGCAAGTAGACGAAGCTTCCAGTCCCCGTCATTTCTCCGTCCGGGCGAAAAATGCCTCTGGCCTGGGAAGCCCTCTAAGCCGTTGCGGCCGTGGGCAAGCAGATGGTGGGAGGGAGAGGGCAGGCAGCCACAAAATAAGATATCTCCCGAAAATAAGACCTAATGGGTCTTTTGGTCCCGAAAAAATAAAAATAAAACCCGGTCTTATTTTTGGGCAAACATGGTAATAAACTTTAACTGGAACTTTGCAGGTGGTCCTGATCTTTTGCACGTGACACATACCAGTATCAGGGAAGAAGCTGTTAGCCAACTGCTGTTGCTGTTGTTGCTGTTGTTGCTGTTGTTGCTGCTGTTGCATCACAATTTGCTGAGGCTTAAGTCCCATCATCTGCTGCTGCTGCTGCTGTTGCTGCTGGACACCTTGCATATTCTTCTGGGCTAAGAGCTGCTGTTGGTTCTGTTGGCTGTGAGTTGTCTGCATGCCATGCTGAGCGGTAAGCAGTTGAGATTGGTTCTGAGGCACTGCCAGGTGTGGTGCTAGTCCTTGGTTTTGCTGCGGACCAGCCAGACGTTGTTGCTGCTGCTGATGCATCAGTTGCTGGTTGCCCACCATGCCCTGTGGTCTAGCCACAATGCTCAACTGAAGCTGTTGCTGAGGGCTTACTAGCTGCCCATCATGAGGTTGGGAAGGGGGAGCAGAATGTGCCAACACAGTGTGGGACTGGAGGTGCTGGGAACCCCCTGGCATTTGGGCAGACATCTGCTGCTTCTTCTGCAGTTCCTTCTTTTCATGTTCCAGCAGATCTTCAATCAGGAGAGGGAGCTCACTGGCCACCAAGGAGCTTTCCATTTTGTCTAGTTCATCAGCCGGAGAATGCTGCTGACTACTACTCAGACTCAAGGGTCCTCCATCTAGCTCAAACTTTTCCAGGATGGAATTAGTGTTGTTGGGCACTGAGACAGGAATAAGTGATGGACGAGTTTGGGTGCTGTAGAGGACCTTATCTGATATGGGAGGGTGACTGTTGTTGTGGAACTGAGGCATGCCAAGTTGCACTCCACCAGGACCCATGAGATTCTGGTTGGTTTTTATGTTTACTCCTAAGGTAGCAATCATTTTCTCTGCTCCTTCAGATTTCACAGGAGGCTTCTCTACAGTGCTAGTATTAAACTGGCAAGGTGAGGACTTTAAACACCCTTCCTCTAACTTGGGTTTGATATCAGCTGGCAGGCTAACCATTTTGTTGTCCAGCATGTCACTTTGGGCTTTGAAAGATGCAAGGAGGGGAGATGGAGAGACCCTTGCAGAAGATGAACAGGGAACCTGAAGAAGTCCAAGTCCCTCTTTCACTTTGGGAACATGATCTCGGGGCATTAATAGTGCCTTCGGTTCATCTGGCTTGCCAACCCCAACAGGAGTATCCTTGAGGTAGGGACTTACGGAGGGCTCTTTTTTAAGCTGATCCTCACGTTCAGCCTTTTCGTTGGCAGATTCCACCAACCGCAGATGCTCGTTGAAGATATCCTTCTTATCTCCAGTATCCAGCTCTGGGTCTGTATATGCTAGCAAATCAAACTCATCCCCATTTAATAGATCATCAAGGTGCGGGTCATTGGTTTCCAGGTTATCCAGGTTGTCAAGATCATCGTCACCCTTGGCAACATCTGGATCAAGGCTTAGGTTGGCCAAGTCATCATCATCTTCAACAAGATCCTTGTGAGAATCAAAATCATCATCTAAATCGGGTTCCACCGGGACCTCGCAAGCTAATGGCCTACTGACCAGACTTAGCTGATTCTTGCCAGCGGCTGGGGTAGAATCAATGTTAGCTGAGGTGAGGGGTACATCTTTAGAGACAGATGAAGAGGGCGTTCGAGCTGCGATGTGTCGCACCTCCATGTTACCAGGGGGCAGTATCAACTGGGGAATAGCCTTGGCATGAGAGTGGTGATTATTGCTCATCTCTGAACCCTGAAGAGAGGAGGACATAGGGATTTTCTGTGTATGTAAGCCTTGGTTTCCCAGGACAGAGACCTGCACAGGCATAACAGAAGCTTTCAAAGCCTGATTGGTGCTGTCATTCCCAGGCAGGAAGAATCTGGGTCGAGCCTGCAGATTCTGTTGCACAAAGGGAGAGCCAGCTCCACTTCCTAGCACTCCCTTTGGGATATTGTGCCGCAACTCAATGAACTGGGCTCCCAGTGGGCCAGAGGAACTCTGAAACTGTTCACCAGGACCGGGCAGGCGTGGAGCCAGGCCTCCCAAAGTCTGCCGGCTTAGGTCTTGGGTGGGGGGCTGGGGAAAACGTGAAGAGATCGGGAGACGCATGGATGCTGCTTGCTGCTGCTGCTGCTGCTGCCACATCTGCTGCTGTGTAGGTGGTGTTTGGAAGACACTGCGGGCATAAAAGGGCTGGGCCGCTGCTGTCACCGATGGCCTGAAAAAGGAGACATTTTAAAAAGTGGTTTAGGTAACCTATTACCGTTCACCCTAAAAGCTATCTGGAGTCGAGCCAAACATCAAGACGGGAAGTTTATAAATTTGATAAATAAATAAATATCTTTTATAACTTTCTCCCCCCCTCTGGTAATATAATGGTGCCGGTACAAAGAAATCCTCAAAAATAGGGGACAGCTTTCCCTATAGCAGGTGGCAGTTGTGACCAGCTTTTGTTTTTACCCAATTTGCTATTCTGCCATCTCTACCCTTTTTTGTTTGCCACATTTTTTTATTATTATTATTTTGCTGTTTAAATCATTCGTATACCACTCGGGGTTGCTGAGAATTGGGTGGCAATGTAAGTTCAATGAATAAATAATATGCTTGCTTCCACTAATCAATATCATAGTTTTATCGCTGAATTTCTGTGGCACAATCCTAGGGTGCTTTGGGGAGAATGCAGAAAAGTAGGTGGAGTGAGTCACAAACAGCAAAATGCCTCTGGTTGGCTAGAAAGAGGGTTCTACTGATCAACGATTGCCCTCTTTTCTTTGGTCCATCTTGCCATTGTGACTGGATTGGCTGTTCTAACACCAACTGGAGCCTTACCTGCCATTGATGTCCATGGCAGAGGGTGTTGCTGCTGGAGGTGGCCGAGCCAGTCGTTCATCGTGCATGTAGGGTGCCTGTACCATCACACCGCTGGGCAGCTTGCTGCCTCCTGGAGTGCTCCCCAGGCTGCCAAGTAGTCCCTTGTCCTATGGAAAGGAAGAGTCAACGTTCAAGACTATTACATTAACAGAGGGATAGAATCAAGATCACGTGAAGTGTTAATACCACTTTACAATGCCTTGGTAAGGCCACACTTAAAATACTGCATCCAGTTTTGGTCACTACGATGTAAAAAAGATGTTGAGACTCTAGAAAGAGTACAGAGAAGAGCAACAAAGATGATCAGGGGACTGGAGGCTAAAGCATATAAGGAACTGTTGCTGGAATTGGGTATGTCTAGTTTAATAAAGAGAAGGACGAGGGGGGACATGATAGCAGTGTTCCAATATCTCAGGGGCTGCCATAAAGAAGAGGGAGTCAAGCTATTTTCCAAAGCGCCTGAAGGCAGGACGAGAAGCAACGGGTGGAAACTAATCAAGGGGAGAAGCAACCTGGAACTAAGGAGAAACTTCCTGACAGTTAGAACAATTAACCAGTGGAACAACCTGCCTCCAGAAGCGGTGAATGCGCCAACACTGGAAGTTTTAAAGAAGAAACTGGACAGCCGTTTGTCCGAAATGGTTTAGGGTTTCCTGCCTGAGCAGGAGGTTGGACTAGATGACCTCCAAGGTCCCTTCCAACTTTATCATTATTATTATTATTATTACTACTTGACAGAACCGTATGAGTTCTGGGGGTCGTTTGTTTCTCTAAGCTTGGTTCTTGTAGGCATTTCATTACCCCAACTAGGTTACATCATCGTAGTAGCAGTGTCGATGTTACCTTGTTGGGTAATGAAACATTTACAAGAAAACAACCAAGCTCAAAGAGCACCAAGGACCCCACAGTTCAGCCCTGAGCTACAAATATTCTCTCCTGTTAATATGAGTTTTACGCAGAGTAAAATACTTTCAGGAAAGTCATAATGTAGAGCAGGGGTAGTCAATCTTGGCTCTTTTATGACTCGTGGACTTCAACTCCCAGAATTCCTGAGCCAGCCATGCTGAGGGGAAAGGGAGAGGTTTCCAAGCTGAGCCATGCTGGCTCAGGAATTCTGGGAGTTGAAGTCCCCGAGTCATAAAAGAGCCAAGGTTGATTACCCCTGATGTAGAGTCACCTTACAGGGGAGACGGGCGGCATAAAAACTTAATAAATAAAATAAATAATGTACAAAAGTTTAGTGCAATAAGGACCGTCACCCAATTGTATTCATTTGAACATTTATCTCACCGGATCTAACACGATTTAGCATTACAGGTTTAACCCACCAGGGCGGTATCAATTTTTTAAACACTGGACCCAGCAGCACATGTAAAAAGTTATGCATGCAACAGAGAGAGCAGATTTAGACCCTGGTACTGTCTCTGTTCCAGAAAGAGGACCTCTTTCAGATCTTTGAATAGAATCTGTAGGAGAGTAAATAGCAGAACCTGAGGACACGGTGAAAAGGGAGATCAGCCTAGAATCCCTACATAGCCACAAGCGAACGAAGTCCAACCCCTTCTTGCGTGCTGTCAACCCTTATCTAACTCTGCCCAGGTGCTGACCACTAGTTGAGATGATTCCATCCTTGGTCACCACGATGTAAAAAAGATGCTGAGACTCTAGAGGGAGTACAGAGAGGAGCAACAAAGATGATTAGGGGACTGGAGGCTAAAACATATAAGGAACGGTTGCTGGAATTGGGTATGTCTAGTTTAACGAAGAGAAGGACGAGGAGTGACAGGATAGCAGTCTTCCAATGTTTCAGGGGCTGTCACAAAGAAGAGGGAGTCAAGCTATTCTCCAAGGCGCCTGAAGGCAGGACGAGAAGCAACGGGTGGAAACTGATCAAGGAGAGAAGCAACCTAGAACTAAGGAGAAACTTCCTGTCAAGTTAGAACAATTAACCAATGGAACAACCTGCCTCCAGAAGCGGTGAATGCTCCAACACTGGAAGTTTTTAAGAAGAGACTGGACAGTCGTTTGTCTGAAATGGTATAGGGTTTCCTGCCTGAGCAGGGGGTTGGACTAGATGACCTCCAAGGTACCTTCCAACTTTTATTATTATTGTTGTTATTGTTATTATTATTATTATTACTATTATTATTACTACTATTATTAATATTATTATTATTATTATTATTATTATTATTATTATTATTTACCAATACCAATAAATCAGTTTAATTGATCTTTCAAGCGTGGATCTTGTCTTTCGTGCCTGGCAGAATCCTTTTGGTGATAACATCAAAAGCTGTATGGAAAAGTCAGATTCCACAGTTCGCAGTGTGGCTGAATCCAGGCCTCTCTTGTGGCTACAGGCCTACCTGTGCTGATGGGTAAGGAGTCATGCTGCGGCTGATCTGCTCAAAGGCTGGTCCGGTGCCCTCAGCATTCCAGGAGGACTGAACATTGGTGGCTGCAGCTGCTGCACTCTCTTTTTCTTGCCTCAAGTTGTTCCTCTGGATCTGCTGACGGATAAGTAACTCCCGGAGCCTCTGACGCTGGTAGAGGACCAAAGGAACAGGGCGCAGACGGTTATGAATAGCTTGTGCTCAGAAGCCCTTTAAGCAAATCTGTCTGTCTTGTCTCCTTCAGGGCACACATCATTCTTTACTAGCCTCCTTCATCTCATTGCTACGCACTCAGGTAGCAGGACTAGAAAAGAGCCATTAAGGCCCTTCCTGCCTCTTTGTCCATCTCAGTGTTTCTCAAGCTTGACAATTTTAAGGCATGTGGACTTCAACTCCCAGAATTCCACAGCCAGCATTGCTGGCTGTGGAATTCTGGGAGTTGAAGTCCACATGCCTTAAAATTGTCAAGCTTGAGAAACACTGGTCCATCTACTCTAGTTCCCATAAAGCTGAAGTTCAACTTCCCTACCCCAATGTAATCAGCTTACCTGGCGCTGTTTTTCCATCTCTGTCTGGGTAGCGTTGCTGCCAACGGACCCCTCCTGGCCAGTTGTCAGTTCTTGCAGCTCTCTACTGGGGGGTCCTATTGCCCCCTCCTCCCTCTTGTCACTTGAAGGCATGCCTCCTCGTGGCAGAAAGGACAAAGCGCCATCTTGCTGTGAAGGTGGCTGCTGGGGCAGCACCGATGGAGGTCGCAACGGGGAGATCGTGTAAGAGTCTGGGGTGTTCTTGCTTGGGCCCAGAGGGCTCCCAGCCTGGTGGAAGCCCGGTGACGAAACGTAGCTTGTGCTTTGAGGTTTGCCAGGAGTAAAATGGCTGTTGACCCCATGGGAAGGAGAGTTCTTGACGGGCTCATTGGGAGGGAAGGTGAACCGCATCTGCGGCTGAGCACTGGGAAAGACGCTGGCACCAGGGGAACGAATAAACTGAGACTGCTGGTTGGTCTTTGGGTGGGACTCAGATGAGGGTGGCACTGCTGAAAAATTCCCAACTGCCAAGGTATTGTGGGAGACGGGCATCGGCTTGAAGCCAGTGTCTGGAATTTGAGCACGGGGAGGTTTGTGCAGGGGGGCAAAGGGGTCCCGGGACTGGGGCCTGGAGGGGGGTCGGGAGTAGGGGTCAGGGGACTGAAAACGAGGCGTGACGGGAGACTGGCAGAAGGCTTCAGTAGAGAGAGGACGGGGAGTGAGAGGGGACTGGGAGCTTGACTGAGACTGTGGGCTGGCAGGTATGCGTGAGAAGGGATCCGAAGGCAATGAACGGGGAGGCAAAACACAGCAGGCCTCCGGGGGTTGGGGTTGAGGCCTCGGGGTCAGTGGGGGCTGGGCATAGGGATCTGGGTAAGGCGACTGCCTGTAGAGATCAGCCTGGCTGGGCGGGGAAGCAGACAGAGGGTGAGAATCTGGGGGCCGATGCCCTAAGCCCGGGCTTTGTGGCTCCACCTGAGACTGGCGGGGGGTGAGCGGGGCTTTAAAAACATCCGGGGCCTTCATTTCATTGGAGGGGAGAGCACTGGAAGGGGAGTTACTATAGCTGGAGCTGTAACTAGGAGAGCCGATCCCTGGACCGGTCTCTTCCTTCTTGATATCCAGCCCTTTTTTTTGCGGCTCCCCAAAGGGTGGGGGGGAAAGCAGAAGCGCAGCTCGCTGAGGGCTTCCAGGCACAGTCAAGTTTTCCAAGGATCCAGTAGGGCAGCGGGGCTTCAGGAAGGGGTCCGGCGTGGAGGGCTGATGCCTTGGGGTCCCAGGCGGGGTGGGCTGCAACTCTCCAGCTTGTGGGACCAGACGAGGGTTTGGTAGGAGCGGAGATTGTCCAGAGGAGGCAGAAGAGGAAGAGACAAAGCCGCTAGGCACTGTAGGACTCTGGCCCACCAAGGAGGGGGAAGGAAAACCTGGATCTGGTGGGGGGCAAGCAGAGGCCATGCCGTAGGGCTCGTGCAAAGGCACTTGCACTGGGGGCTGGGCACTGGTGGCAGAAGAGGGAAGCTTAAGGAAGAGCTCGCTGGGCGACTCAATACCCGGCCCACTTGGCAGAGCTGCAGCGTGATTAATATAGAGGGGCTGTCCCGAGGCTGAAGCAGCAGAGGAAGGAGGCGGCAATGGCTGAGGGGCGCCAGGCAGCACCCCCGGCTGGGACGGTATGCGCAGATGCAGTGTGGGGCGCTCAGGCCTTCGCAGCACCTCCACTTTGGTTTGTTTGCTGATCTGGCTCTCAGCTTGCTGTGGAAAAGGGAGAAGAAAGTGCCCCCGGAGGGACAAAGGCATCGTCAGTGCCAGAAGAGCAAACTCAAAAGGCAAAAATATAAAGAGTTTAGAAGTTTGAAGGGATGTGGGAAGCCAGATATTCCTGGGGAGGCAGGAGAGGAACAGTATCTGAGTGGCCCTTGAAAAACCCTTAAGAAGCTGTCAGTGGGTCTCCGTTCTTTTTTCCTCTCTAAATTTGGTTAAAGCAGGTTTCAGCTTTCCTCGGCACAGAATTACATACAACCTCGGCAAGGACATATTCCATATGGGCACCACGGCATGTCAAGCCTAGTTTCCCCCTCTAAATTTCCCTGTCCTGGTTTCAACCGATCCCAATTCATATCTCTATTGTCTTACCTACCTTCTGCACCTTGTTGATGCGATGGGCTGCCCGATTATCTTTGGCCTTTTGCTGTCAGAGAAATAAGAATAAGAATGAGAGAGAGAAAGCAAAATCCCTCCCACACATTCCCCCCCCCTCCAAGGTCACCCAATGCTATTGAACACGTCACATACTGTAACATAATTTTGTTATTTTCAAATCTTCTAAATATATAGTATTCTAATACTATGAGAGCCAGTTTGGGCTAGCGCTTAAGGCACCAGGCTAGAAAGCAGGAGACTTGTGAGTTCTAGCCCAGCCTTAGCCATGAAAGCTGACTGGGTGACTTTGGGCCAGTCGCTCTCTTTCTCTCTCTCTCTCTGCTCAGCCCACCTCATAGAATTGTTGCTGTGGGAAAAAGAGGAGGAGGAGGATGTATTGGATATGTTCAGTGCCTTGAGTTATTTGTCAAAATAATAAAGGCAAGATACAAATCAAATAAATAATAATAGGTATGTGTAACATAAAATATGTAACTGTCTAGAGCAGGGGTAGGCAACTTTGGCTCTTTTATGACGCGTGGACTTCAACTCCCAGAATTCCTGAGCCAGCATGGCTCAGCTTGGAAACCTCTCCCTTTCCCCTCAGCATGGCTGCCTCAGGAATTCTGGGAGTTGAAGTCCACGCGTCATAAAAGAGCCAAGGTTGCCTACCCCTGGTCTAGAGCTAATAGCTATCAGTTCAAAACACTTGAACACTTGTCTCAAAACTTTTATTTCTCTGGCAATGGCAATAGCACTTATATACCGCTTCACAGTGCTTTACAGCCCTCTCTAAGTGGTTTACAGAGTCAGCATATCGCCCCCAGAATCTGGGTCCTCATTTACCGATCTCGGAAGGATGAAAGGCTGAGTCAACCTAGAGCCAGTGAGAACAGAAATGCTGTCAGTCAGCAGAATTAGCCTGCAATACTGCATTCTAACCACTGTGCCAGCATGGCTTTTACTATATAGTCCAGTGGTGTCGAACCTATGGCATGGGTGCCAGAGGTGGCACTCGGAGCCTTCTCTGTGGGCACACGTGCCGTTGCCCCAGCCTCGCCTCTCCCCGCGACCCCCTCCTCTCCAGCAGCCCCCCTGGAGGAGAGTCGCCCCCGAGAGTGGCCCATGTGGAGCAGCACAGCCAAGGACATGGCAGCCAGGCACTGTAGATAAGACTCTGCCCTCACGCCCCATCCCGCACAGTTGATGCTGTGGGGCGCGGGCAGAGGGTGTGGCCACCATGGCGCTGCTGGGCTGCCTGGGCGATTTGCAGCAAGCCCTGGAGACGGTGAGTGGCCCTATGGGCAGGTGGGGTGGGGGACGGGGTGGGGGCGGGGCGGGGCGGGGGGGATAAAGCAGGGTCGGGGCCAGTTTTTGGGCACTCGGTCTCTAAAAGGTTCGCCATCACTGATATAGTCACTCTAAATCATATACTTTTAAGTATATAACATCCTTTCGGGATCAAAATCAACTATCAAAAGCATGGTTTAAATATTTTAAAAATCAGATATCTGTCTGCATTTAGCAGACAAATCCAGACAAATCTGAATAGGTATTGTAGCAGAGGAGGATAATAGGGACTATTTCCTTTAACCCCACTTTCTTGCCATTGTTGTATGCAGCAAACGTTCAACACAGGGGGGGAGGGAAGGAATCCTGAACAGTTGTTGCCCAGTTGAGCAAATGACAGGAGCTGCAGCTGTCCTCAGAATGGAAGAAAAGAAAGGAAATAAGAAGGTGACAACACAAAACTGTTCTATTCTGGGTATGCAGAAGCAGAGGAGTCTAAGAAATAACAAGATAGAACAGGAGAAGCCCTGTTATTTCCACAGAGCTGATTAGCTTTAGCTACAACAGAACAGAATAAGACCTTACTAGGAATTTCTTTCTGCAGGTCAAACAGGTTTTAAAGACCCTTGGATCACAAATTACAGAACACAGAATAACAGAGTTGAAAGGGACCTTGGAGGTCTTCTAGTCCAACTCTCTGCTCAAGCAGGAGATCCTATACTATCCTGGACAAATGGCTGTCTAGTCTCTTCTTTAAAACCTCTAGTGATGGAGCATTTACAACTTCTGGAGGCAAGTCGTTCCACTGATTAATTATTCTCACTGTCAGGAAATTTCTCCTTATTTCTAGGTCGGTTGTCTCCTTAATTACTTACCCTCCCCTTAAGAAACCTAATAAATTAAACTCATTCTTTTAAAGCTACACAAAACATCCAATTCAAAACTCATATTTACATAGGCCACTTACCAAATATGGGGCTTTGTCTGGAGCTGGCACCTTTCGCCAAAGCTTCATGATCTGCTTGCAACGGCTAGACCAGTCTGAAGGCAGAACAACAACAATAAAATTGAAATGAAATGGAAACACTCATATGCCAAGGCCAGTTAATTTTGTCCAGGGATTCTACAAAAACATTTTATCATAAAGCCAGCGTAGGAGTCTACTTAGGGAAAGGTTCACTTTATTCCACCCAGCTAGCAAAAAATTTTATTCCTATTGCAACACATCTGCCTAGTCTCCCAGTCAGTATCTCCACGATCTCTGCTTGTTCTATCTATATATTTTTAAACAGCTTTGTTAAACGCATCTCAGAAAACAAAAACAGCCAACCCTTTTTTGTCAACCCCAAGAATACTACAGGATACAGCATCGCCTAGTATCCCTCATCATTGGCCATACTCAGCAACATCTGGAGAAAAATAGATTCTGTATCCTGCTACAGGCAGATAATAGACTATGCCAATTTTCCTCAATCAGTGGCTTCTAGACGTGTTGGGTTTTTAACTGCCATAATGGTAGTACTAGAAGCTCAATATATCTGAAAAGCAACAGATGAGAGAAGAATGCATAAGAAAATGCAATGCAAAAGACAAATTAGGGTTAGAACCACGGGAGCAATCATAAAGGTAACACAAGGCTTCAGCAGCGAGGCAAACAGTAGAATTTGTTTCACAGATTATGAGAAGCACTCACAGTGTGCGTGAAATGGGAAACCTCTTGTTTGGAACCTGGAAACCAATTTTGCATCAACTGAAATCCAGAACACTTTGGTTATTTCAGATTTCAGAAAAACAAATCTGAACAAAGCCAGCAGGGCTAGACTGCTGCAGGTCACACAGCTGCTGCCCACTCTACCACTCCAGGTCTGCTTGCCCCTGCTGAGCTTTTCAGGGCCCTCCCTCAGCTGCTACCTCCAACATCCCAGAACACCATATCCCACAGGCCTACCTACCTCCCCAATCTTCCCAGCATGTCCCTTATCCTCCTTCCCTACCTCTGCACAACCACCAATGTCCAAGGCCTCTTCCCAAATTTCACTGCTCCCCCAACCATTTCTGAAAAAATATCTGTAATCAACTTTTCTGACCACATTGCTACAAATAGCCACAGACAACTCCTAGGACTGGCTTTTTAACCACCTGGATAAAACTAAGATGTAGTAGTATTTGGACATTCTCGTTTACAAATAGTCACATTGCAGAGAACTCAAGATTCATGAAAAATATTCTGAGACCAACACCATCACTAATTCTAAAGTATCATCTCCTAGGGATCTGTTTGATAAAAGGGATATAGACAGTGACTGGGAAAATGAGATGTGTCATTTGGAAACAAATTTGGGATATGATGAACTAAGGAAAACTGGAAGTTTTTAAGAAGAGACTAGACAGCCATTTGTCCGAAATGGTATAGGGTTTCCTGCCTGAGCAGGGGGTTGGACTAGATGACCTCCAAGGTCCCTTCCAACTTTACTACTACTACTACTACTACTACTACTACTACTACTACTACTACTACTACTATTATTATTATTATTATTTATTTTTCATCTAGTGTATTATCACATAGGAAAAACTGGTTCAATCAAGGATTTCTTTAGTGGCAACATTAATAGTTGTGTATATATACTAGCACAGGGGTATTCAAACTTGGCCCTTTGATGACTTGTGGACTTCAACTCCCAGAATTCCTGAGCCAGCATGGCTCAGCTTGGAAACCTCTCCCTTTCCCCTCAGCATGGCTGGCTCAGGAATTCTGGGAGTTGAAGTCCACGAGTCATAAAAGAGCCAAGGTTGCCTACCCCTGGCTTAGACAGAAGGGTAACAGATACCTCTTTACACAATATTCAAATAGCAAACACCTAATNAGCAAACACCTAATCAACCTCGGCAGAACTGGACTGCATCGCTCTCAGCTATGGCACAAATAATGGCAATTCTCTCCACATCAGTTAAGCATAGGTTTCATAATATCTAATGAAATGTTTGTGGACAAATATACAAGGAATCGTATGCCATGTTGTCTTTTTGCAGGCAGTTGATGCCACAACATCAACTGCAAACCCAGGTTGAAAATGGGCCATAGTTGCCCCACCCCTGTACTATAATAACACAACTGGATGAAATTTATTAGCCTTTGGCAATAGCGGGTCACATAATGATAATACACAACAATAATGCCGACAAAGGAAGCAGAAGACTCCCAAAGTAAAGTAATTATGCCCTTCAAATTTATTTGATTCTAGTGGCATTACTTGGATCCTTTGAATCACACCATTTTTGGTTTCTGGAAGAAGATGATTGGGATCCCTGAGCCGTTGACTTTGACTTCTGTTGCACAGAAGGCTCACAGCAAAAGGGAAGCATATTGTTTCCATCTCCACAGATCTGACAGAGAGGTCATTGAAAGGAGATGGGCCTCAAACACAAAGGGAAAAAAGGGGGGAAAGATAAGTAACTAATAACCTGGATAATCCTGCTTCAGGCTGGGGAAATTCATGTTGGCATAAAGGACAGGTGAGATGGTAGAAAGCTCTCCCAGTTCCTCATCCTTCTCCCAACGTTGCAGGCTCCGCTGGTTATAGGAGAGTCCATCACTTTCCCCCTCTGTGGTGGGTGTAGTTGGTGTGGAAGCTGCAGAGCTACTGGCCCAAGGACTCTCGGGCTCACACTGCTCGGGGCTGAAGAAGCCACTCCTCTCCCTACACAGAGGTAAGGGAAGGCAGGAAAACACATTAACAGCAGGGTATAATGGGGGAACTGTCAAAGGAGGGGCCTGGGCTGAGCCAAGGTATTATCATGCTGTGCATGTAGGTGACTTACTTATTATCAAGGAATGGGGACTGGCAAACTCCAGAGTAAGTCTCCATGGGCACGGCAGGCTGCAGGGGCCCAAGAGATGTACCACCAGCTATAAATGAGTTGAGACATTGCAGAGATTGAATCAAAAAGAGTTCACATGCATATCACATACGTAAAAGTACCATCCAGATATTCTGGTGAATATCACCAAAAGTTAAAAAAAAAAAAAAGTGTGAGCTTAAGCAGGTGAGGTCTTAAGTAATCTTAAAAATTAAATTTTAAAAGTTAACGGAGCAAGGGGAAAAGAACATTTAAATATGTGCTGTGTACAAAATAGAGAACGTATTTTTGCCTTAGTATGGAGAAAGTATATGTATTTGACCAACTGTCCTAGTACTACCCTTTTTGTATTGTAGAAAAGTTAAAATATTGTCAGGGTAATGAAACGTCTGCAAGAAAACAAGCAAGCTCGGAGACCACCAAGGGCCCCTCGTCCAAAATATCTCAGGCAGGGTAAGAATCTGCGTTAACCCCCCCATCTCAGTATTCACAGCTCACCTTGAAGAAAAGGCCTTTGGGCAAGCTGGGAGCAGTTCGGATCACGCATGCCTCTGGCCTCACCATCCACCCCAACAGAATTCAGCTGCTGTTCTCGTTCAGTGGAACCCAGGACGTCTTTGAAGAGCTGCTGAACATCCTTGCTCTCCATTTTCGGCAACTCTGTTAAAAAAGGAAGAAAGTCACGGGTGAAATCACAGGGCGGTAGAAAGTTCATTTGGAGCAAGCTCAGCAATGCAGGGGATCTGAGAGTCTCCAATCACAGCCGGCTAAATTACAAGGAAAGTGAGACATGAATGGGGGATGAGGAGAGCAAAAAAAACAAGAAACATGGGAAACGAGAGCACCTGAGACTGATTTTAAGCTTTTCGCTAGTAGTAGTCAGAAGGGAAGCCAGAAGAGACAACTAGCTTTCCTTCTCTGCTCCTCTCCACGGAGCAGACCCTTGGCAGGGGGATGGGGACAGTAGGGTCTGTTCAAAGACCCGCCTGACCTTCGGTGGGGATTTTGTCAAGGTCGGAGCTGAGCACCCCCTCCCCCGGGGGTGTGGCTGGGTTCTCGGCACCTGTAGGTTCTGGAGAGGTCTTGGGTACCATCTGCTCTTCTGTGCCTGTAGAGAGCAAGCATACCATGTCAATCAGCACACGGCATTACTTATAGTATGGGCAAGAGGTCTAACCTCTATATCTTGGAAGGATGGCTTACTCCTTAAAATGAAAGGTTAGCCCCCCCCCCAAGCTGACTGCATTCTTATGGAAACAAGTTGAGCTTGTCGAAGAGTCTGGTCCCAAATCTCCTATAGCTAGGGCAGGGGCAGGCAACCTTGGCTCTTTTATGACTCGTGGACTTCAACTCCCAGAATTCGTGAGCCAGCATGGCTCAGCTTGGAAACCTCTCCCTTTCCCCTCAGCATGGCTGGCTCAGGAATTCTGGGAGTTGAAGTCCACGAGTCATAAAAGAGCCAAGGTTGTCTACCCCTGAATTAGGTATTTAGAAAGCAAGGCTTTTAGAACTACAGATCTGTGCACTGACGAGACTTAAATTATAAATCTTGATGGCTGCATCACGTCACCGTGGACTGCTTTGATGCTCAATCTAGTTACTGTAGATAGTGAAACACATAACAATACAATTCCTATGCTTTACGTCTAGGCACTGCCAACTAACACTATTGCTGATAAATTTACCTTGGACGCTAAACTGCCACTGGGGCAGGTTTAAGGTTTTTGATAGTAACCTAAGGTCCAAACAATTGTGACAGGAAACTTTTCTTAAAAAGAACTGCCCGGCCACTATGGATACCCATTCCCTCGGAAATAAAACAAGTACTGATTGTTATAATTCAGATATTTGTTGGGGAGAGTTTTTATCTTTCTTAACTATTTTAGTAAGTGTTGGCTTATATGGGCAATATGATTTTATTGTTGAGCACTGCAGAGATGTTAAGCATTATCTATCCTTTTAAAAGGAACTAAGAGGGAATAGTTATGCCTTCTCCTGTAATCATGAACCAAACCTTTTATGGAAAATTGCCTCCTAGTTAGTATTTCTTGACAAAGTGACACTCATTGTAACCATGTTCAGGCCACACTCAAAAGCTTCCAATTAAATCTTATTGCACTAGCAGATGAAGTGGGAGCTCTCATTCCATTTCCAAGACCTTGGGACAAAATGCCAGGAAGGAGTAGCAGCAGCAGCAAATCCATCTTCTTTTGTCTTTCATGTCAAAAGAATCCATTTTGTGCTAGCTTTCCATTAATGGGAGCTAATGCTACTACTACAATAACAAGCACCAACTGTATGAGCTACAACTGTAGTCACAAACTTTCAAGAATCAAGTATAATTACAACAGGGGTTGGATTTAAGCAATGCTATAAGAAACTATTCTATGTCCTAAGCATCTTGAGTGCATGCCACTACATTCTATGTCTCTCTTAGTTGGTGGGTTGCAGGCTTTTAAGCTGTATGTTTGATTGCAAATTAATCTCTAGATTTGAAAACTTAGAGAGTGACCGTGCTTGGGCGTAAAATTGGGTTCTGGAAATTCTAATGGCCTAGATGTGCCCTAACTGAACGTCTCCATACTAACCTCTAGCAAGGGATGATGCATATGGCACCAGTATGACTAAGATCGGTAATCTAGGCTCCATCTTCTCAGAATTACTAAAAAGTGTTATTTGAAAACTCCAATAGATCAAAGTCACGATAGGTGGGAGTGATCAATACATATAGGTCCACCTACCAATTTCCATAATATAAGAAAGACTGCAATTTAGAATGTAACAGGAATAAAGAGCAGGAACAACAGATCAATTGAAATTTTAAAAAAAAGATATGTTGTGTTTTTTGTGAAATTAGCTGAAAAGCAGGTAACGGATCAGAATAAAAGTAATCTGATCCTGTTTAGTAGAGCTGATGAAAAACAAGCAAATTGTGGTTGGATGGAGATGATGAGTTCCACAACAAGAGCGAGCTAAGAAGTTTAAAGAATAAACAACAATATATGATATGGTGTTTAGAAGTACAGTAATTTTAGCTATGTTTTTTTTTCTCTTTTATCTTCAGTTTTTTTGGCTTACTAATTCTTAATTGATTTTTGTGCACGTCACATAACTTTCCTGATTTCCCAAAAGAAAGATGTTTGGGTATGAATTTGTAAGAAATTGTACAGATTAATATGCAGCAAATATATCAAAGGCAATAAAAATAATCATTTCAAGTATTCTAAAGCAGGGGTCCCCAACCCCCCAGTCCATGGACCGGCACAGGGCCTTGGCATGCCAGCAACCGGGACATGCAAACAAGCGAAGCCCATCTGCGGGATGCAGGCAGCACACAAACCACGCCCCCTCTGGACCACAGAAAAAGCTTGTTCCATGGAACCAGTCCCTGGTGCCCAAAAGGGTTGGGGGGGGCGCTATTCTAGAGCACAATGCTACGCATACTTATTGAAGTACATAGGTGGAGTGTTATCCCCCTCCCCCCAAAATAACATGGAAATATCTCCTGAGGACCCAAAAGCCTCCTATGCCATTTTAAAAATCGTGATACCCACCAGTATTCTCAGTCTTGGCATCAGCTGCTTTCACGTTGCTTTCAGGAGCTGCTGCTTCTCTGCTACTAAGGCATTCATCCCCTGGAGATGGAAAGACAATAAGCTGATCTTTTAGAACAGACAGCTAATGTCCTAATATTGACTTTAAAAATGGTTCCTGGCTTCTGAGAACCAACTATTTCTGCACAGAACAAATTTCGCTTCATAGCTTGCCTCCACCTATGAGCCGGAGGGTATTTTATTTGGCCAATGTTTCTTCAAAATCAAATGAAATTTTCTTCTGAATTCCCAAGCAACATGTATTTAGAACATACACTTTTTGTCCTTCCTTCCTTCCTTCCTCCCTCTCTTCCTCCCTCTCCTTCTTTCCTTCCTTCCTTCGCTCTCCTCCCTCCCTCCCTCCCTCCCTTCTTTCCCCACTAGGGATCCAAATCAAAGCCTGATCCCTAAATCCCATCATTTCTACCTCCTTAATCCAGTTATTTTTCCTCAGCCTTTCACTTACCTTTCGGCTGAACTGTAGCTGCCTTTCCATCCTCCGGCCCTTTTTGGAGCCTGATGGAATCCATCTTGGGCCTGGGAGCTCCCTGGCCGACAGGAGGATGGGCAGTTCCATCTCCACCCACACCACCAGCAGCCAACAGAGCCTGTCTGCTCAGGTCTAGGAGTGCTTTGCCAAAAAATGCTTCCTGTCAAAGAGGTTGAAGAAAGAACAAAAATACAATAAAGGACCAGGTGAATCAACGAATGGATTTCTGGAAACTCCCTCATTCCAATTGCCTGGGGCTATCGCTTTAACTAATAATAAACATAGAATCATAGGTCTGGAAGGGACCTTGGAGGTCATCTAGTATAATTCCCTACTTAGGGCAGGAGTCTTATATCATCCCAAACTTTTCTTGAAAACCACCAGCGATGGAGTACTCACAACTCTAGGAGACAGTTGAGAACAATTAATCTCTGTTCTATAGATTAATTGTTCTCAACGGTCAGGAAATTTCTCCTTCGTTCTAGGTAGGATCTCTCTTTAACAAGTTTGCACCTATTGCTTTGCTGTCCTGTCCTCAGGTACTTTGCAGAATAAGTCTGCACCTCTCCCCTCATCTCTCTGATTGCCCCTCAAGTACTAGAAGACAGCTATCGTGTCACCTCTAGGCCTTCTCTTCATAGCCTAAACATACTTAGCTCCCTTAGCCATAAATCACACAATTTAGCCTCCAGGCCCCTTATCGTTGTTGCTCTTCTCTGCAGTCTTTCTAGGGCCTCAGCATCTTTTTTTTGTATCACGGCAACCAGAACTGGACACAGGATTCCAAATGTGGCCTCGCTCGTGCAGTGTAGAGCAATACTAACACTTTGTGTGGCCTTGATTCTGTCCCTCTGTTGATGCAGCCTAGGACTGTGTTGGCTTTTTTGGAAGCTGCAAAAGTGGTGATTCACCAGGACACCTAGATCCCTTTCACAGGCACTACTGTCAAGCCAGGTACTACCTATCCTGCACCTGTGCACCTGGTTTTTCCTGCCATCTTCCAAGCTACTGAATCCCCCAGATTTCCTTTTTTTAAAGTCCATATAGAGATCTACTTCCTTTGCTCGTTTCTTTGGTTTAGGAGATCCACATCCCTTTTCTCTGCCCTCCTTCAATGTTACTAAACCAAGAACTGGACTTAAGAAAGCTTGGTAATCCTTACCCAGAGATAGTTATTTCCCACTAAGCTAGCCCTCTCCTGGGCTTGTTTTTCTCAGATGGGTAGGACTAAAACTCACATTATCCATAGGTACCAAGCATTTCAGTGATGAGGTTCTGTATCCAAACAGAGCTGGAAGACTGGGGAGTACTGCACTAAAAAAACTCTTACCTGAAGATAGGCAGGGAACATGTCTTCTAGCTTGCTCTTCTTCCGCCCCCGCCGTTTCTTCTTTTCATCAGCTTCAACCACTCCCTGTTCAGCCAAGGTCTCAGCAGGATTTTCAGCAGGTGGGTTAGGTTGCACCCCTGATAAGGAGAGAGGATTGAGAGTTAGCATGGTCCTGTACGAACCAACCAAGCCTGGGAATGCTAAGCACATTTGCAGGCTTTGCTGCAGTACATTTTAGGGTCAGGACAGTTAGGAAAGGAAGGGAGAGGAAGTGCATAGAGGACACAGATGATAAACATTGAGCCCAATATCTGGAGGGCCAAAGGATCCCCATTCCTGCCTTTGTTTCCATCATTTATTTTTCTTCTAGTTGCTGACTCTCTCCCTCTACCTCTTATTCCAAATTTGAAAATGCAGGTCTATCAATTGGAATGTGCACTATAATTTAAAGCAAAAATATGTGTAATTGAACACGACAGGAAATGTTAGAAATAATTGGAAGCTTCTATTCAGAGCTCTACAAAGCTATTCAAAGATCAAGATCACTCAAAGGGAACAACACCCACGAAAGAGGAAATGCCAGCTATCCTAGTGGAGGAAATGCCATAAAATCAATGAAAAATGGCAACGCTTCAGGAAATGATGGTGTTACGGTTGAAATGCTGAAAGCTGGTGATCATAGTTTACACAAGATACTTGCAAAACTATACTCGAGATGCCTCAGAGAAGAAAAAATACCCGATGCATGGAAAAATGCTGAAGTGATTCTTACACACCAGAAAGGGGCACAAGATGATTTAAAGAATTATCCGCCCAATAGGCCTTCTTTCAGTCATCTACAAGGTTTTCACCAAGATAATAGCAAAAAAAAATATTGAAAACATTAAATGATGCCCAGCCAAAGAAGCAGGCAGGGTTCAAAAGTGGCTACAGCACAATGGACCACATCTAGATTATTCAGCAAGTCATTGAAAGGCACGAGTGCACTGCCTCTGTGCAATGGATTTCAAGTTTCATTGACTACAAAAAGGCATTTGACTCAGTATTCCAGCAGCCAATAATTAATGCATTGCTCAACCATGGTGTAGATTCTGCTTACATAAACTTACTACAATCAATCTATGAAAAAACAATGGTAACAATTAACCTTAATGATCTTAAATCAAAACAGAACGAAGTGTATGACAAGCAATAGCAATAGCAGTTAAACTTATATACCACTTCACAGTGCTTTACAGCCTTCTCTAAGCAGTTTACAGAGTCAGCATATTGCCTCCAACAATCTGGGTCCTCATTTTACTGATCTCGGAAGGATGGAAGGCTGAGTCAACCTTGAGCTGGTGAGGATCGAAATGCCAAACTGCTGGCAGTCAACAAAATTACCCTGCAATACTACATTCTAACCACTGCGCCACCACAGGCAATACAAGGCAATATAATATCACCTATCCTTTTCTCAGCCTGCCTTGAAGAAGTATTTTGCAAACTAGACTGGGCAAAAGATGGAATAAAAATCAATGGCATCTATTTAAATCACTTAAGATGATGTTCTCTTCTCACAAGACCCAGAAGAGCTACAAAGACACATACAAGAGCTGCACAAAGAAAAACCATTTGGCTTTAAAAAGACCCAGCTTATATTTAATAAATTAACAAAAGAAAGCAAAAGGTTTATATCTGGAGAAGAACTAGACGTAGTAGACCCCTACATATACTTTGGGCAACGGATCTCAATGGAAGGTGATACAATAAAGGAAATTAAATGGCGTGTTAAATGTGGTTGACAGGCATTCGGCAAGCTAAGCAAAATTTTCAAGAACAACCTCCCCCTATCCCTAAAGAGAAAAGTTTTCGATCAGTGTGTGCTACCTGCTCTAACATATGCCAGTGAAAAAAGGGACATAACCTCACGATCGATACAAAAGCTAAGACTGGGGCAAAGAGCCATGGAAAGATACATGCTCGGCATCACAAGACAAGATAGAAAGACCTGCACATGGATCACTAGAGAAGAAACGAAAGTATACGAAGCCATCAAGAGACTAAAAGAATTGCAATGGAAACGGGCTGGTCACACAGCAAGAAGAACTGAAGGCAGGTGGACCAAGGCAGTCATAGAATGGGTCCCACTTGATAAAAAGCATCCATGAAAGAGACCCAAAACAAGATGGACCCACGACATAAGCAAGTATTGTGGGCCCAACTGGCAAAGAAAAGCTCAGGACCGTATTGGTTGGAAACATGGGGAAGAGGCCTTCATCCAGCAGTGGACAGAGAATGGCTAGAATGATGATGATGATGATGAACACTGATGTAAATGACTCAGCCAGTAAACCAAGGGTGTCAAACTGCCAGCCCGCAGGCCGGATGCATCATAGCAAAACCGCACCCATCCCTTTGCTGGCAATGGCAAAAAAGTTGCAATACGTCGCAACACGTCACGTGACGTTGCGAGTTTGACACCCCTGCAGTAAACTGAGGCACGGAGTCCTTGGTGCTCTCTGAGCTTGGTTCTTTACTCGCAAATATTTCATTTCCCAACTAGATAACATCATCAGTCCTTGCTAGAAAAACTTCCCAATTTAATCCTGAACTACAAATATTCTCTTCTACTGAATCTGAAGAATGTCCGAAAAGGCAATCCTCTTTCTTTAAAAATAAGATTATGGTTATGAGGGGAGTTTTAATAGCCTTCCCAAACTTGCACCCCTCCAGCGACTGGGGCTGGAGGATGCCATGTTGGTGAGTCTGCTCTTGATTAAAAGGAAGCCCCTTGCACACTTATTCAGATTATTTGGATGAAGCAAGGGAGAAATACAAAACAAGCGCAGCACTTACCTTCTTCCAGTTGCCCTTCAGCAGTTGTCAGCTCCCGAGAGATTTCAGCCAAGACCACTGAGCCCTTTTTCAAGCGTGTGTGTGACTTCCGCTGTCGCACCATGAAACCTCCAATACCTATTCCGGTGCAGAGGAGAAACAAGTCACGAGACGGAGCTAGAAAATTATCTGTGTGGGGAAGACAGGTTCTTTGGTGCCTGGTCAAAGCGAGGAGCGCTTACCTGGGCGATAGGGCTTCCGCTTCCTCTTCTTGACCTCCTCAGAGTCTTCCAAAAGGCCTTTTCCCATTTCAGCCTCGGCTGCAGCTATCCTGTCTGGAGTAGGCGGGGCTTCCAATTTGATCTCACACTCCATGTGTTCAACGCTAACTGCAACGGGAGCAAAAAAACAAAAACCGTTCAAAGTCTCCCATTGCCTTTATATGGAAAGGTATGCAATTTGTGTAAAAAAACCCCACAAAATCACATAATTTACATATAGGTAGTTCTCAGTTAATGACCACTCGGTCAGTGTTCACCTTACAACAGGGCTGAACAAATGATGGTTACGACTCGTCGGCAAAGTTCTGACCATGCCAGCCCCATCAGTCACGTAATCGTGATCTGGCTGCTGGGCAACCAGCTTGCACGTATGGAGGCTGCAGCATCATACGGTCACAGGATCGCAATTTGTGACCTTCTCTGCCAGCTCCCACCAGCAAGGTCAATGGGGAAGCTGGCACGGGAGGAGACTTGGGTAAGTATCTTCTTCCCCCATCCCTCCATCCCCTCTGTGCTCATGCCAGATCACGCCAGTCATCTGCGTACCCTTTACAGAACTGTTCCTTACACATGAAGCCTGATGAATGGCAGTCTACAACATGAGGTTTACTGTAATGGAGTTTGCATATGCATTCAGAGCTAATTTGGGGGCGGGGTGGGAGGACAGGGTTAGGTCCCAGTTTTCCTTCTACCACAAATCCATTAGGATTAAAACTGTTAACTATAGCACTCCTTAACTGAGAAGTCAGATTATATTTGGAAACAGATGAACTGATTACTTAAGAGTCCTAGAATCTCAAAAACACAGTTAGAAAAGGCTATACTGTAGGCCAGGGGTGTCAAACTGGTGGCCCATGGGCCGGATGCGTCACATGCAGGTTACACCCACCCCAGCTCCACAAAGACAAAGACGAAGACGTGATCGAGTTTGACACCCGTGCTGTAGGCCATCTAGCCCAGAGGTCCCCAACCTGGTGGGCACCAGGGACTGGTTCCGTGGAGAGAGGTTTTGCTGCAGAACGGGCCTGGTTGTATGTGCTGCCAGCATCCTGCGGATGGGGCTTTCCTTGTTTGCGCGGACCTGTTGCTGCATGCTGTGGTCTGGTACTGGTCCACGGACTGGGGATTGGGGATCCCTGATCTAGCCCAAACCCTTGCTCAGGTCAGGAATCCAAATTAAAGCATCCTGGACAAATGCCTATCCAGCCTCTGCTTGCAATAGCAAGCCCCAAGCTCACTACTCAGAGCTAACCACTTGGGGAAAATCTTTCTCCACAGCACAAAAGCAAAAGGAAAAAACAAGTTTTTCTAGTTTGCAACCAACCAATTGCATCCTAGCTTATCCTGCCTCGCAGAGTCAGATGACTAGACTAACAGGGTCCGATTTCAAGAACTCAAGTATGAAGCTGCAGCATGGAATCTCAATCGGTATTATGTTACAGAGACAATGCAGCTATTCTACTACTTTTCCAAGGGACTAGTAGGATAAACACGAACCTTCAGCTTTCAGGATTTCATCTGCCTCCACATCACCGTCCTTTTTTTCATCTGCACCCAGAGAGCCAATGCAATCCAGTCCACCTTCCCCGTTAAGAACGCCTGGCCGTGGCATCATTGGTGCCATTGGTGTGGTTTTGCGCGGCCGACGCTTATGCAGTGGCGACAAAGACAAGTTACGTAGCACCGCCATGCCTGTCTCCGTTAACCAAACACCTTCAAAGCGAAAATACTGGGGTTCTGCGTGGACAGGATAAAAGAAAAGCTTGCTTGGACCTACCTGATGATAAAGTAGATAACATGCAATTTAAGGTATTTAAATTGAAGCAATTTACCTGGTTCCTTGATCTTCACTGGGATAATTTCTGGAGGGGGAACGGGAACTTGGAAGAAAGCAAAAGGTAAATCATTGCTGGGAGCAGTAAGTCAATTTACTAATACGATTTGTGTCCCTCTACATCGGGGGATCTTCAAAGTTGGCCCTTTTATGACTTGTGGACTTCAACTCCCAGAATTCCTCAGCCAGCCATGCATTCTGGGAGTTGAAGTCCACAAGGCCATAAAAGGGCTATAGTTCCCCACCTCTGTCCTAGATAAATGTAATAAGCCCAGAGGTCCCATTTTAAATATTTTAAGAGCGTACCTCATACCCAACATCTCCCCTGTTCTACTCCCACACACTATATTCTCTACTACAGACACCCAACCACATTCTCTTCACTTCTAACTGCAGCAGCTTCAGTGTTGCCTTATTATACCCGTATTATAACATACTTGTTTATAATTTTCAATCTCTTTTTTATTCAGGGCGTGCCCTCAAAACGGTCACCCCAAATAATCTGGCTGTACCTATCAGGTAGCCAGGATCTGCTTCTTTCCCTCCTGTCCTCCAATATCTGGAGGGCAATGTCTTCAAGACATTTAAAGTTAACATTCATCTAGAGGCTATCAGTAGCCTTGTCGCCTGCATCTGAAACATCTGGCTTAAAAAAAGACTTTGCAGAAGTGAGAGTGTCAACGCTGCAAATACTGTATATTCTTGCTTTGACAATATGCAGAACTGTCTGGTATTTTATAGTTAAATCAGGCAACAGTGAAAGGGGAGGAGAATAAGGAAAGCCCGGGAAAAAGAAACCGGAGGTAAATCACATCTTCCAAGTTAATTGGAAGATGTGAACCATGACCCCAAAATAGGGGAGGGAAAAATGCCTGGAATGTATGTGCAACGGAAAAGAATCTCAGATCTAAGCATTTCCACCATGCTGTACTGACATCTCTGTAACCTTAATAAATGCTTTTAGGATAAAATTATGCCTGAAAGTCCTTTTAAGTGTTTCGTTAATCAGGCACATGACAGAGAGTAGCTGGTGGTCACCTAGATGAGGTTCTACTGCAGGGGCGTCCAACTGGTGGCCTGCAGGCCAGATGCGTCATACGCAGGCCACGCCCACCCGGCTCCGCAAAGGTAAAAAAATGTAATACGTCATGATAAGTCATGTGACACGATCGAGTTTGACATCCGTGTTCTACGGAAATAGATCCATTCTGCCACTCTAAGAAGCAAAGTCTCTCTCTCAGGATGGCTCCAGGTTTGAGAGAACTTTAACAAACCATCCTCTCCAAATGGCCCACGGTGGATTTATCTTGTGGTAGGGAAGCCGACAGCTATGAGCACATCGGGCAGCTGCTTCTAGGAGCAACATTCCTAACTTCTTGCAAACATTTCAAAAATATCTATTTATATTATAGGAACCGTTCCTAGATTCAGCCTCCAGGTAGTCTTCGAAGTACAACAACAACAACAACACAGCCAAGGCAAGGATCTGTATACGCTTGCTGGTACACAAATATCTTAAAAAGGATGTAATATAGATCTCCACTCTCCAATCCTCTGTCCAACAGATGCTGCCTCCCCTTTGGGGGGAAAAAGGAAAGGCTCAAAAGGTTCATACCCGTTGCAGTACTCACCCACAGGCTTGACTACATATGGCTGGCATGAAGTGCAATCGAACCCCTCGTCTGCTGCCTGCTCTACTTCTTCCTCGCTGAAAAGGTTGTCACATACGGCGTGCATCCACCTGAGAAACAGACAGTTAAAGACAGCGGTACCCACCTGCACTCCTGTTTTTGTGGATGCTGCTAACGTTAAATGCTAAATGTGGGTGGCGGCTCTTGCCTTAAATTTTGTCCTTCTAGGAGTAAGGCTGTTCCTTCAATTATCTTTTTGGGGACAGAAAGTACAAGATAAAAAGGAAGGGCAAAGGGAAACGTATGTACACATTTCAAGCATCCTAGTACATTTTAAGGGAAGAGAGAGGAAGCTAAAACATTTGAGCCATTGCTGCAAATCCACACTGCCACTCACATCTTTCGTTATTCGAGTTAGTTGTTGCTCTGTTCTCACAAGGGATCCAAGAAGAATGCTAAGTCCTCAAAGGACAAACAGACTATGAAAGGAAATGCTCTATACCAGGGGTAGGCAACCTGGGTTCTTTTATGACTCGTGGACTTCAACTCCCAGAATTCCTGAGATAGCCATGCTGAGGGGAAAGGGAGAGGTTTCCGAGCTGAGCCATGCTGGCTCAGGAATTGTGGGAGTTGAAGTCCACGAGTCATAAAAGAGCCAAGGTTGCCTACCCCTGCTCTATACTTTTCCCAGGATGGCCTTGACCAGTGCCAGACAGGCAAGCACTATGAAGGGGTTAGAACAGGGGTCTTCAAGCCTGGCCCTTTTATGACTTGTGGACTTCAACTCCCAGAATTCCTCAGTCAGGCATGCTGGCTGAGGAATTCTGGGAGTTGAAGTCCACAAGTCATAAAAGGGCCAGGCTTGAAGACCCCTGGATTAGAATTAATCCAGAATTAGGAGCCACATCAGGACACAACATTGCGTGAACCTGTGGCTTCTCCAAGAAATAAACTATAGTATTAGTAGTTGTCCTCAGAGAAGATAGGCGGCCAGGAAGAACTGAATCGTTAAGTGTGCTGAATTTTGATCACATGACCATGGGACCTTGTAACGGCCGTAACTTTGGGGACCGGTCATAATTAGCATAGTAGTGAACAGCTATAGATCAGTCTTCCCTTTATTGGCAATTCTCCAGGTGTGGTAGATTTCAGCTCCTATTATGCCCAAGCCAGGATGGAGATCCAATATTTCTAGGGACATCTCTCAGTTAATACCATCCTGTTGCTCACATAAATGCCACATACTAAACTTTCTAGAGGGTATTTCCCCTTCCTTCTCATTTTCACAGCTTCAATACACCCTCTCGTCTGTGTCACTCACCAATGCAGTAATGCCAACAAGAATTTGTCATGAAGGATGAAAATAAAATAAGGAAAATTCTGTGCTATGTTAGCCTCCTTGAGCTTTACCCTTTTGCAAGTTGAAATGTCCACAAGTATAGCAATAAACAAACTACATTAAAAGGATGTTCCAGGAAACACATCCAGTGACAGGATCCCAAAAGTATTTCCATAAACATAGTACCACGATAAAATGGTGGGGATAGGGGCTTACCGTTCACAATGCTGACACTGAATTAAGAGGTCATCCTCAACGTACTTCACATGGCAGATGGGACAAGTGACAAGACTGGCACAGGGAGCACAATGGGTGTAATTGCTCTGCCATTCACAGTGGAAGCCAGGTGAAACTGCTCCACACTGCACACAACACACGCACCTGATAAAAGAGAGAGAGGCAAACAATTACTATTGCCTGTTAAGATTCAATTTATTTCCCTCCTCATCTCTAAGAACAGAAAGCCAGAAATACTTTAAAGTGACAGTAAGATCTCAGGAATTTTCTCTTTTATATTCAGCGTTCTAGAGGTGCCTGTCGTCCAATTCTATTGGATGGGAACTGCCATAATGCCCAGTCGGTACACTTCAGAGTTGTGATGGTGGGGATTTATAAGAGTTGTAATTGCAAAATATCTGGAGGGTGTTACATTGGCTGCCGGGCAGGTGATTGGCAGGGTGGGGCGGGGCAAAGCGGGGCCGGCAGAGACCAAAGAAAGCCCCTCCAGGGGCAGATGTGGCTGTTGCACAGCGGCGGCAGAGGCCTTTTGCCATCACTCCACCCCCAGCTCCGAAACGGCGGAGGGGGACCGGGTAAGGGGACTGAGCCCCCCCCCATCCTCTATAGCAGTGGTTCTCAACCTGTGGGTCGGGACCCCATTTGGGGTCGATCGACCATTTCACGGGGGTCGCCAAGCAAGGCTGTCTGCCATTTTTTTTGTCCACCATTTTTTCCCCTTTTCCGGCGGGTGCCTTACCTCCCTTGGGCTGGGCCAGCTGGTGGTCGGCCTGCTCCGTCTCTGCCGCTTGCCAGCTACGCCTCAGCCGGCGCAGGGGGCGGAACCACACATGTGCGGCGCTCCCGGGCAGGGAAAGTCCTCGACTTACAACCGGTTGGGTAGTCCTCGACGTACGACCGGTTTAGTCCTCGACTTACGACCGGTTTAGTCCTCGACTTACGACCGGTTTAGTCCTCGACTTACGACCGGTTGGGGTCGCGGCATTAAAAAGGTTGAGAACCACTGCTCTATAGCATGGCAATCCATGCTATGGAGGGGAGTGGAAGAGAAGAGGCGGGCGGGCAGCCGGGTCATTGAACGGGCGGGGGGGGGGGTTGCCAAGCAGGAAGTGGCCTGGCTGCAGGGACTCTGAGGTGTGCAGATGTGGGGGCATGGGGCAGCTCCACACACCCCCACCACTTGCCTCGCCTCACTTCGTAGCGGTGGCACCATTGCACTGCGCAGCCTCCTGCCCCACTGCGGCAGCGAGCAATCGGATGGTGGGACGGAGTGGGCAGGCTCTTAACTAGGGTTTATTTTGGGGGTAGGGCTTATATTAGGCACACACTAAAAAATCATACTAGGGCTTATTTTGGGGGGGGGAGTCTTATTTTTGGAGAAACGCAGCATGTAGCTGAAAATGTACCCAACTAGGACTTAGGTACATTTTCAGCTAACCTAATAAGATTCTTACTGAGAATTCAGTGTAAGAGCAAAATTTGGGAGAAAAAGGTTTTTCATGATGATACCTAATTTCCACTTTATTTGCAGCAAAATACATCAAACGAATTTGCGTATCATGTCAATGAAATACTATTAAAGCATGTTTCATTAAATAATCCAAGGCGTTGTTCCTGCATACGCTAAGCTGCAGCATATGGATTCATACATTGTGCTAAGCCAACAACCCAAACAAATCACACAATGAGTGTGATCTGCCTTTCAGAGCTCCCTGCAGAAATGTTGATCTGTCTCTCACCATTTGCATTTCCAGCCGCCCTTGGGCACGGTGTTGAGAGGTGGATCCAGGCAATATGTGTGGTAGCTGATGTCACAATCATCGCAGAGCAGAAGGCGGGAGGGATCGGATGCTTTGCCACACACCTCGCACACAATGCATTCCACACAACGCCAACCCTTGAGCAACATCACCTTTGTAATCTTAAACACAGAAAGAGAGGCAGACATGGAGAAAGGGAGGCCTACACATAGTTGAAAGATTGGTGGGTCCTGGGGGAGAGAGGTTACTGAGAGCATGCAGTGTTGTTTTACTGGGATCCAAGGCATATGGATTTCAGAACATCTGCCACTTCTTTGTGTCAGTGGCTCTCAGCCTTGCGTGCTAATGTGGTAGGATAGGACAAGAGCTCTATCATCCCATGGCTATGGATGATGGAAACGGCAATACAATAACAATGGGATTGGATGTTTGGGACCCACTGCTTGTAAATTTGTTGTGTAACTATTCTCCTGTAGGATCTGCAAGAAAACAACCAAGCTCAGAGAGTCTCAAGGACCCCAACAGCTCAATCCTCAGCTACAAATATTCCCTTCTATTGGTAACCCAACCCAATCTTTCCTGTATACCAGGGGTAGTCAACCTTGGCTCTTTTATGACTCGTGGACAGCTGGCTCAGGAATTCTGGGAGTTGAAGTCCACGAGTCATAAAAGAGCCAAGGTTGACTACCCCTGCTATATACTGTTATTTCTCTCCAAACACATAAGTCCCCAAACCCGTGAGAAACCAAATGATAACTACTACACCTCAGAAGTTGAATCCTATTTTTCAAAACTTCCCTCCTCTGATATCCTCCAGGTCGCTGGATTCTAATCCTCATTTTTTGGTTTGCCACATTAGTTATGGAAGAGGGGTACTGTAGTCCACAACAGACTCGCAATTCTAATTGCATTGCCCAACTAGGGATGTATTGGGCAGCATCGGAAGCTGCTTTTTAAATTTTGGGGAAGGAGAGTGGCTAAAATCAGGCCTTACCTTGCTGTTTACACAGTAAGGATGGTAACACTGGGAACACTGGGAACAAGCCAGGAGATGGCCCTCGGCACCACGGCCAAAACTGCCACACACAACGCACATGTCCTGTCCAGGAAAGAAGAAAAATCAGGATAAGAACCTCAGGCCTCCCCAAGCCTAGGGAAAACGTCTACTTACCCACCCTTACTTTTCTGTTATATTAAAACTCTGCCTGCTCTATGGATGGTATCTTATTATCACCCCTTCCCATAAACACACGGACGGTTGGCCATAAAAAGCTGATGCTGCATAGCAATTTGGCTTTGAACCGGTTAAATCGTTATTTCCAAGTCTACAATATATCTCAACTGGAAGATTTCTCTGATTTCAGAGTAGTAAATGAAATCTGCCATTTGCCACTAGAAGACAAAAAGCTTGTTCCTTAACAAAGCAGACGGCCCAAGAATGGAACACACACCATTATAAACTGACAAACTGAACGTCTCCATAACTTTGAAGGCTATCAGAACTATGTGCAATCCCAAGTTTGGAAAGAATGATAATGACTTCAGTTGGGTGCTATCAGTCAGCTACAGGATATCTTATACCAGGGGTAGGCAACCTCAGCTCTTTTATGACTCGTGGACTTCAACTCCCAGAATTCCTGAGCCAGCATGGCTCAGCTTGGAAACCTCTCCCTTTCCCCTCAGCATGGCTGGCTCAGGAATTCTGGGAGTTGAAGTCCACGAGTCATAAAAGAGCCAAGGTTGCCTACCCCTGTCTATATGAAACAGACAGAGCCTCATCCTGCAAGGCAGCATCTTCCCTCTTTAAAGCAGGGAGCACCATTCCAGAGCTTTGCATGATATAAGGTTTACATTAAAAAAAAAATGCATTTCTTTGAGCTCTCCTATGCATCCTACTCACGAAAACAAAAGAGATCAATCTTTCCTTCCACCGATGTAATTAATGCAATCAGAAACCAACTGAGTTGCTAGTTGACCCACCTGCATTAGCACAAACTTGTCTGTGTTGGAAAAGAGCACCACTGTGTTTTGCATTGTGTCGTCGTCATCATCTTCCTCCTCTTTGCTCGGGGAGCTGTCAATGTCGGCCAGCTTGTAGAAGAGAGTGCAGAAGCACAAAGTAAGGGTTGAAATGCATTTAGGACAGGCATGCAAAAAGTGTGGCCTGCATACCATTTCCCACACAGGAGGGGCCATTTTTTTTCCAGGGTTTTTCTGCCCATAGTGGAGCTGATGAAGATGGGGTTTAAGGCAGAGGCCCCCAACCTTTGGGCCACCAGGGACCGGTTCTGTGGAGAAAGGTTTTTCTGTCTGCATCCCACGGATGAGGCTTTGCTTGTTTGCATGGCCCAGTTTCTGCCATGCCATGGCCCAGTGCCGGCCCACGGACCGGGGTTGGGGACCCCTGGTTTAAGGTACCCATTTTACTCCTTAAGATTCTCATAAGACATTTGCTCCCAAAATGCATTCCATTTCGGGAATGTGGCCCTAGACTTGCTGCACAGAACCTGATATGGCCTTCAGCTGGCTTATGCACTGTTGGGACTCCTCCCCAAGATGGCTGCTGAAGAGCGAGAGGCTTTCTTTTTCTTATTCACAATCTGCTGTTTTTGCTGCCAGAGATGGTTCTTTGGCAGTCCTGCCCCCTGTATTTGAATGGGGGCACTTAGGAGTGTCCCAAGACTTAGGAAGAACTTATGAACTGTTATTTTAGTAAGCATTAGTAGCTGAGGGCATATGGACAGGTGGCTTCAGCAGGCTAATGATGCACCAGAGTCCTGTCCATATACTACAGAAGGGGAGGCCAACCAACTGCTGAAACTATCTTTCCTCTTCTCTCTCAATATATATAGTGCAAGATGCCTCGGCAGGATGTCCCTGTCCCCAAACCTACGCTTGAGAGACCACACAAAAGGAAGGCAATTTCAACAAGTAGAGCTTCTCCATTCTCCTTACAATGCACTGCTCCCGAAAGGGGGAGGAATCCTATCACAGCTAGAAGACAACCAGCCAATCTAGAGGAATCCCCTAGAAAACCATTTAAAATAAGGAAGGGAGATAAGAGAACCACTGGCTATAATTATTGGAAGGAGTACAGGACCCAGTCAACAGTAGGCAGATCGATAACGGTTTGCTGCCTGCCTCTCTGCCTGAGCCACACAAAGAAGTAAAATGGAGGGCCTTACAGGTAGTCTTTGACTTACAACCGTTCGTTTAGTGATTGTTTGAAGATACAATGGCATTGAAAAGGGGGACTTATAACCGTTTTTCATACTTACAACCGTTGCAGCATCCCCATGGTCACTTGACCAACATTTGGATGCTTGGCAACTGGTTCATACTTATGACGGTTGCACTGTCCCAGGGTCACGTGATCACATTTTGTGAACTTCTGACGAGCAAAGCCAATGGGGAAGCCAGATTCACTTACTAACTGTGTTACTAACTTACACAACTGAAGTAACTGAACTGTGGCAAGAAAGTCACAAAGTCACTTAACCACTGTCTCACTTAGCAACAGAAAGTTTGGGCTCATTTTTGGTCGTTAGCTCTGTACTTGGTCTCTCTCTATATATATTAGCTGATCTCCCGTTTAGGAGAACGGTAAGGTCTCTTGGACTGGATCCCACTCATCCCATCCGATCCCAGTCCCAAATGTTATCCTGCCTTCTAAAAGCCGCCCCTACCGCCAGTGTCTCGATGGAAGAAGTGGTGGATTTCAAACGTGATCGGCCCCGCCCTCGGCCCGTGTGAGACCCTCCCCGAGGCCGTCTCCTCCCAGGAAAACTGCTGCTGCGACCCTATGACCAAAAGAAAAAAAGGGAGGGAGAATAATGGCTGGAGATATAGGGGAGTTATAGACATCCTCTATTTCACCACCCTTCCTCCAGGACTCCCCTTACATGCAGGTGGGGGAGGGGGTTTTCAACAGAGTACGAAAGAGACAGCAAACAACATTCAAAATTAGCTGGCTGAAGGCCTCCAGTTACCTGCTTGACACGAGAGCGGGCTGGCGAGCTACGCCGTCGTCCCTTCTCACATTCGCCTTTTACGTCAAACAGCAGAGAGTCCTCCATTTCCCCCAGAGGCAAAGAGGCTCCATCTTCCCTCTGCAGACTGACGTCTGTGGAGGTTAAGCCAGCCATCTCTAGTGAAAGCGAGCCTCCGCCTTCGTGATACGGGGAGGCAAAGGGGAGCTCTGAGCCCGGAAAACTGCTGGCACTGGCATCTCCCTGACTCAAGTTTGAGATCTCATTCACAATATCCGACTTCACGAGGTGGTGAGGCCTTGGGGATGGGGATGCTGGTCCTAGGTCCTCCTCTCCAACCGCCCCTCCTTCAAGTTGGCTGGCAGATCCATAGGCTTCCACTGGAAGGGACCTTCTGTCCAACAATTCCACCTCTACGGGGGAAGGAGAGCGCTTGGATTCATTGGCAAAGCTGAGGTGAATCTCACTGGGTTCGGGTTCAACGGTGACAGGCCCTTCATCTAATGCCTCCTCTTCACTCAGCTGCGGGGAGAATCTCTGCTCATGTTCCATCTTGGGGGCTGCGGCCGCCTCTACCTCTTCCTCTACCTCTTCCTCCTCCTCCTCTTCCTCCACCTCCTCCTCTTGGTTGGGCTGGATTCTATTCCTGTCAGGGCTGTCAGGGCCAGAGGCTTCCACCTCTGTGTCCATGGGCTCTTCGCTGGGCTCTCCTCCTTCAACAGTTTCTGAAGAGCCACCTTGGAGCACACCGAGTGGAGGAGGACTCCTTGGAGAGGACTCTGCTTCCTGGGCCAAGAGTGTGGATGGAAGATGACTCTCTGGGGGTTCTGGCTCTGTGGGCAGCAATTCAAAGGCAGGATGCTCTTTGGCACCAAGTGGGGACTCCTCCAGGTGAGCAGAAAATGCTGGATCTGAGGGATGGATAGAAGAAGAAAGATGAGAGGAAGACAAGGGACTCCGAGGAGCCAAACACAATTTATTTAAAAGATTTACATGGCCGCCCAGAGTCACTCTCAGTGACTCTGGGTGGATTACAAACAATAAAAAAAACCCAATGTACAAACAATAAAAACAATAACCCCCACATCCCTGGCAACAACAATCCATCAGATAAGCCACTCGATGGGCTCCATCCCACTCTGGTTCCCCAGGCCCGTAGTAGAACCAGATCTTCAGGGCCCTGAGAAAGAATGTCAAATTGGGGGCCAGTCTCCTCTCTGCAGGGATGGCGTTCCAAAGGGAGGGAACCACCACGGAGAAAGCTCTTCTTCTGGGTCCCGCCACATGCACCTCCTTAGGAGACGGGACCCACAACATTCCTTGTTTCCTGGCTCTACTGGGCCAGGTCGATGAGACCAGGAAAAAGACGGCCTTTCAAATAAACTGGTCCCAAGCCACAAAGGGCTTGAAAGGTGACAACCAGCACCTTGAATCCCACTAACAGAATCGAAACAAGGAACTAAATCTGTCCTCACCATCTCTAAAATACTGGGCCGTAGGGCAGGCAGGCTTTTTGCCTGCTAAAATTTAGCACTATCCCAAGATGTGGAACTCACCTGGTGGTACTGGGGGAGGGGGTGGTGGGGAGGGGGCTTTTTCAGGCTCTAATGCTGTTTCCACTTCCATTTGCTCCTGCCCTATAGTGGCCTCCAACTCCACACTGCACAGTTCTAAAGGTCTGTCTGCCTCTGGAACAGAAACACGCATCTTGTTTAAAAGAATCTGCACACAGATCAAATCTAACCCCCTGTCCGGTTCTTCACAAGGTTTCTTCCGACCTACAACTCCTGGGTAAATGAAGGCAGGGTGATAAAACAGGATAGTAGCAAAGTTTCCTTGCCCTAGAGTTGTTCCATGATTTCTGAGTCTATTCATGCAAGAGTTTGGAGCCTAAAGCCACCAAGACGCAAACAAAAACAATTGGCCGAGTTAAGATTTGTCCTGGACCTCATGTACAGTTCTGGCATGTTTCAGCCTAGCCAACTGCTGTCAAAAGCATAAGCAAATGGTGGCTATTCTCAGATTCAATATAGCCCACTTCCAAAAGTAGAAAGAAGGTGACTCACCAAGGGGCTGCTGGCCAGTCTCCAGTAGCACTTGTTCTTCTTGTTGCATGCTAACAGGGCTGACGTGGCCTTCTTGTTGTCCCTGACTGGCCACATCAACTTCTTCTGGGGATTGAGGGGAAATCACCTCGTCGGTTGTGGGGATGCTGCTTGCTGGGGGAATATGCCTAAGGTGTTCAAAAGGAAGTATTTGAGATGAATTGTTTCGAGGTTAGAAGTTCCGTTCGCCTGAGATTTCTCTATAAATATTCCTTCTAATAATCCTATGAAGCACGCTTTTACCATTACTCCTGTTTTATGGCTTGAGAAGGGTGGAGAGTGGTAGCCTAAGGCTACCTCGTGAATATTGTGGTAGACATAATAACTGTTTATAACAGCCTTGTAAGCTACTGCCAAATTTTCTCTCAGCAGTCACTCACAGGTTGCCTTCTCATCAGTGTCACTTTTTAACAACAATAGGTGGACTTTTTCCAGCTTGATCTGTCCTAAACCAGGGTCTTCAATTCTTCCTGCTGCACCCCAGTCCAGCCATCATCACTGTAACGGAGTACATCCACTTTGCTAGTAGTTGCCATCTTCTTCCCTTTTGTTCCATCTTTTCCAGCATTATGGGCTTCTCAAGGGAGCTGCCTATTGTGTCCAAAGTATGACCTCAACAGTCATATTTGGAGGTCAAGGAAAGCAAAGATTTACCCTCTCCCCATTCGTATTGGCATATTATTTATCGGATGGCGTTGGTAATTTGCTCTAACTCGGAGCAAAGAGCATATGACTAATGTCCAACAAATCTATGTCAATATGAATGGGGGAAACTGGATTTCTGCTTTTCTTGATCTAGTAAAATCTAGCGTTTCATCAAAAAGAGTGAAGAGAAATATTCCATTCTCCTGAAAGTCCTCCAGTCCAAAGTGAAAACCTGAACTTACTGCCAATGTCTTTTGTACTCAAAAAGCATCGGAAATTCAGTTACAATATGGGAGCTCCTAAAGCCAATGGAAGAAAAGCTTGTAAGAGCTTCAAGCTTCCACCAGGGGGAGATACTCTCTCAGTTTCAATAGTAATCCAGGTGAAAAAACAAACCTATTACACTGAGAACATGTCAAAACATAACTTCTGCCAGAAGCATCTGGATGACCAGCTTCATATGGGCCCAAAGGAACCATTATCAGAAGCTTCAGTGTTCCATCACTGCTTAGACCANAGCAAACACCTAATCAACCTCGGCAGAACTGGACTGCATCGCTCTCAGCTATGGCACAAATAATGGCAATTCTCTCCACATCAGTTAAGCATAGGTTTCATAATATCTAATGAAATGTTTGTGGACAAATATACAAGGAATCGTATGCCATGTTGTCTTTTTGCAGGCAGTTGATGCCACAACATCAACTGCAAACCCAAAATAATTGACCATGAATATTAAACTGTATGATTCAATAGTGAACATAGATCTGAAAATTTAATGTATCAAAGACCAAAGAGGGTATATTTGACAGGGAAAATGTCAAAGTGTGAACGATTATAAATTAAAAAATACACTGTGAAAATAAAAAAAACAAGTAGAATGTTTCTTAAAGACGGGAGATACCTTAAGATGTGCAAATACCGCTAGAAAGTAGTGGAAATCATATGGCAGGTTATGAAGAATGAATGTTTGTCAAAAGAACTAAAAATAGTTAAGTATAAAAGTGTGTGCCTGCTCCCTCTGTTATACAGCGAGGAAAACATAAAAGTACATTGAATGTTCAGTAGTAGGAATGAAGTACTTAAGTATGGGTGGTAAAACAGGGCAAGAGATAAGGTAAAGAATAAGGTGGTAAGAGAATACAAATTAAATATAAAAATCAAACTAAGATAGTTTGGTCTCATATACCAGGCATGTCAAACTCGTGACATCACGTGATGTCGCGCGACGTATCGGAGCTTTTTCTCCATTGCCGGCAATGGGGTGGCCGCGGTTTTGGGATGACGCATCCAGCCCGCGGGCCCGGCAGTTTGACACCCCTGTCATATACGAAGAATGAATGTATACTGAATCGCAAAACCAATATAAGAAGGAAGAGTGAATGGTTGAGAAGGTGGCTTGGACAAAACTGACGAAATTAAGAAAAAGTTGAAAAGTCTAAGAGATAAAAAAGATCACTTATGATGCACGAATGTGATTAATGCAAGGACAGAAGGTCCTGTAACTTATGATATGAGGTTTTGAATTTATTTTCAGCGCAAACATATCTTGCGATCACCCTCATCACCACCAGAAAACAAGATAGGCCATCACTGCAGACAACCCATTTAGCTGAGGCCAAAGAGATGGGGATTAGTTCAGCTGAAGGAACTCACTCCGGACTGTGCCGCACAGACTCCGTACTGTTAGCTTTGTTGCAGCGCAGCTCACGACATCCTTCACACAGAGAGTAGTTCTCGTACCACTGAATGCTGGACTCCAACGAGGATGGGCGGAAGCCACAATCAGAACAAACACGGCAGCTCTGGAAAAAAAAGGAGAAATACAGGCATTCCAAACAGGAAAAGAGCATGGGGGGTCTTTCACAGACAGCCTGACTGTATTGGGTTTTCCGAAAACTGTGGCTAATAAACTAGGACAGGGTAAGTGCAAGTAAACAGACCTAACTGAAGCAGCGAAAAAACAAATGCTGGCCTGCTTGGGAGTGAGAATCTTCTCTTTCATTGGGGCAATCAATTCCATTTGACTGGATGGGAAAGACTAGCCACAGTACATGGGATTTTTTTTTCTTACGTAAACATTGTAGAGAGATTACTTTAGCTAAATGTTTTCAATCTACATACGGTATGCAATAAAAAATTGAGGTTTGCCAAATTTCAAGAGCCCAACTAGCTAAAGGATAGCAGTCTCACTCTTTGAATACTGATATTCTGTTGCAATGTTTTGCAGAATGCTCACTTAAAAGTACAACCCAGAATCTCGAAAATCTGCTCTCTCTACCAACTCTTTCAAAGATTCCAAAGTTCTGCAGTCTCGTAATATAACATTTCAACTCTTCAGCAGGAGAATCAATTCCGCTCAGGCTGAAGATAAGAATTCTTAAAGTAAGGAATCACAGCCAAACATGGTGCACTGCCTTACCTTAAGAAATGGTCTGGACTCTGGAAAATCTTTTAGACCCATTCTGGGTTGG